AACTTCAACTTTATCGCCATTATTATCTGTTTCGTCGTAACCCCAGTTGGTATGGTGGCTATTAAAATCTCCTATGATAATGTGAATATTTTTAGTGTCGAAATTAACTGGTTTCTCGAATGCAAATGTTGAATTAGGAGGTTTGTAGATAGAGGTCACAGTGCATTTTCCAACTTCTATAGTGAGAATCTCAATGTCGTCTATCTCTGTTATTTGGCTTGTCGTTACATCAATTGAGGAACGAACAAATATAGCGCTTCCATACTTCCTGTGTGGGCGTATTGCAACGAGCTTCATCCCATTGATTCTTGGATTATTCATATTTTCACTCCTATGTGTTTCTTGCACACATAACACGTCACATGAATATTCTTTACATAAGTCAGCAAGCAGTTCTTCCTTATTTGAGTTTATACCCTCAATGTTACATGAGGCGATCGTCAGTGCTGGCCCTGAGAAGGGCCGTTTTTTATCTTGTTTTGTAGAGATCATATGAGCCTGGATTTGGAAAAATTAGCCGTTATAGACGTTGCCTGGGGTACACCACGTAGAGGTTTTTTCCTTGTACCCCCATAAACAAATTAAATGTTATTTGCCGATACAATATATAGGGACTTATAATTTTCAAATACACTATAGTAAAGTATTTATTATAATCATTAGTGTTTAATTTTAACATTATTTCGTCATACATAGCCATTTTGAATAAAACCAGCTGGTGGAAGTATTATGTTGCTCAATTTTGTACCGCCCAATTTTGCTATCATCTTCCAGACTCCAAAGCTATATATTATTATAATTATTATTGATCCCATTAACGATAAATTATAAAATTGTGTATTGCAAACATAGTAATAGTATTGGATAAGAAATAACAAGGAATGGTTACAAGCAGTGGCGGCTCGTACTATGGGGCACACGGGCACGTGCCCTGCCTACAAAATTGAAAGAAAGAAGGAAAATTATATTAAATTAAAATTGAGTTGGTTTTTCCATCATAATAATATAGTTGGTATATTATTAAAAAATATTATAGAAAAAAAAAAAAAATGTAATCAAAATAAATACGGGTGCTCCTGCGTACAATACGTACGATAATATATTATACGGGCGTTGGGCGGCGGGCACAACGAATTTGTGCCCGCCGCCGCCGATGAACGGTATTAGATTTCCCCCACTTTTCGACAAGAATTAATACGGCGTTGCCGGGCACAGTCGGACCGTGCCCGGATTCTATTTTTATTACGATTCACGGGATTTTGTCGGTCTTATCGACTTCNAAAAAATCAACAGAAATTGGTGGTAAGATCAAAGTTGTGATAGTACAAAATGAGGGAAATTTTTGTGCCCCACCTGCAATGAACCCCACGAGCCGCCGCTGGTTACAAGTATTCAAATCTTCGTTAACACGGATGATTATTGCAGTTGTAAAATTCAAAATTCAAACTACTTATATAAGCGAAGACGCTGTTTTCATACCACAGTTCGGATTGAAACGGAGGATATATTCTGTATAGATAAAAGTATAATATATATTTTTCGGTGTTTTATGCCATCAGCTAAATATTATGAACTATATTTAACGCATTTCTATTGGTTGAAAATAAGGTTATAGAAAATATTATTACATTGATATTCAAAACTCAAAATAATTAAAATCTATATATTTTAACGTGTATGTAGTTATAATAGTACACAAAAAGAGTCTATTGAAAAGTTTATCTACCTTACAAATTTATTTTAATGAATAATACACGTATATAACGTGCAATTGTTATACAACGAAAGGCATGTCAAATTACATAATTTTCATTTGTGTTGGTGTTGTTGATAGACGCGAACCAAAAATAAATAATTTACATTTGTTGCGTGAGCCTTGTTCGATCGAAAACGCATAAAATATTGTTCAAACAACTATTTTCTTCTCAATAACATCCATATACTTGTTTTCATGGTATTTTATAAAAAAGAAAAAAAAAAGGGTGTGATTCGTAGATCGTCGATAGCTATAAGGCACAGTCATTGTAAAGAATATAGTATTTGTATTACAACAGTCCATATACGGCTAATAATTGTTCGAATTCTTATACCAAAAATATACCTTACCTCATGTTGTTTTTCAGAAAATTATAATTTTCAGAAAGACAACTGTAGCACTTTGAATTAATTGGGACGTGTGCGCGTGATACACTTATCGGTTTTTTGTTTAAAAGACCATTAAAACTATAAATAAAATAATATCATGTCAAATTATCGCTTCATGAAGTCGTTTTTTTTTTTTTTTTTGAAACTAAGATAAGAAAACTATTATAGCAGGGTGCAGTTTACAACAATCATTATTGAATTTTTGTATTTAGGTTATTCGGGTGCGGTTCGTATTGTGTACGTGACCAATGGAAATTTGTATTACGGCAGGACAAAGTACGTAACCAGCATACTCAGAGTTTTTGCTATAAAATTGTTGCCAAAATATAAAATAACTTAATCATACATTCGTTTTTTTTTTTTTTTTAATGATCTAAATACATCGACATCTAAGTCATTAGTATATGGACATTTGAAATATTACAATTTTAACAATACATAGATACTTAAATTAAATTATATAATTCAGATTTTTTTCGAAATAAAAATAAGTTCCTTATATTAAGTGGGTTCGGTCCGAGCGCATGGCAGATTTGTTCAGATATGTAGAATTGGTTGCGGAAGTGTTGGTATTTTTGACATTCGGTGATGATGAAGCGCCACACGTGCCATTTAATGTGGGTTCATCTTTGCTCATAAAGAAGTTGTACGTTAGGTGTGTGTGTTCAATTTGGTGTCTGTTAATTATGGTTTCGTCTTTTCTACGGAGTTCGGGATTAAGCTATCGGTTGGTATGGTTTTTTATTTTCTTGAGTTTGGTTTTTTAATATCTCCAGTGAGAGTGCCATTTATTATTTATGAGCAAATTTATTTCGTTCTTTACGTCTGAGTAGGCGGTTGATATTTATGGTTGAATATGTTATTGATAAAATTGCATTGAAAGCTTCATGGTTAGCTTTCTCGTTACCTGGAATCCCTATATGCCTGGGAATCCAAATGAATTGGATTTATTTCCCTTTTCTCCCTGCGAAATAAGTTTCTTTTAGGATAAGCTTGGAGATAACGATTGAATTTCTCGCATTTGTAATGGCAATTAAATTGCTGAGTGAGTCACTGAGTTATAAATTTTGTTTTGGAGCTTTTATGTTCTGAGTGAATATATTTAACGGCTTCTTATATTACCATCGCTTCAACTGTGAATATTGAGACTTGTGGGGGAGTTTGTAAGCTATTGTTCATCATATATTCTATATTGTTTTTAATCGAAATTCTAATATATTTAATATGGTGTTTTGATCTACATAAATGCGTATCATTAAATTGTTATACATACTTCAATCACGTTACTTTAAAAATATTTTAATTTGTACTTCCTGGACAATTTTGAAAACCGGAGGTGTCCGGCAAAAAGCCTCTGAATTATTTCCCTCGAAACATCAAAAAAGAATAAACGAGAGGGGAAAAAAGGTGTACAAAATAGTGTCAAACTATAATATCGTATCCAGTGTATTGATTTTAGTATAAACACAGCATTTATTTTAAATCGTCCAGTCGTTTCTTTCTTTTTTCATGGTTTTTGAATTATTATTTCGTTTCATATATTATAATAATCATTTTTATCGTTATATTCATAACACCACAAAAAAAGTAAAAAGAAGTGAAACACGAGTAATAAATTATCCGATTATCTGACTAGTTACATTTGCTTGCGCCGCTCGAGTCAGTCGCCCGAGAAAAATCGCATAAATCCTACGCGCGTATATTATAATATATATATATATATATATATATATATATATATATATATATATATATATATATCTTATCTCAATTGAATGAAAAAAAACTTAACTTACACCTATTATAATAATAAACTATATAATAGCTATTTAGCGTGTATAGATTTCCCTCGCTTCTTCTCTCTCGAGACGGTTATTAGAAACAATTTTTTTTACGAATAAAAATTGTATATTATTATTATATCACTCACGAGTGTACTCGAAGTGGCTTTAAATTACGTTTATAGGTATTATACGCACAGCCAAACGGGAATACGGCCAAAACGTATAGAAAATATTACAATTTCATTAATGCGTATACTACAAACGACGACGACGATAATCATATTTATAGCGTTACGATTAGTTAATATTCTACACGCTCGTGATGTTTATCCGGCCAAACTTGGTAGGTATGATATTATAATAATACTACATAGGTACCTATATAATACTATTATTTGCATATAATATTATATTTGTCAAGGAAATATTCCCATTATAGGCAATGCGGATAAAATCGATTAGACAGCGGCGATTGTCTGTGTACAGGGTGTTATTTATTTGTTGTTCTCTCACGAACGGTTATACGGAAATTTTAAGTAAAAGTGGTTTCGGGGGTTTTTTCGGCCTTTAAATATAGAATTGATCGTGTAATGTGAGTACAAATTCACTGTCAGTGATAATACGATCTTGATGACAGATGAAAAAATCGGTTGATAATAATATTATTGATATGGCGGAGGATAATGGCAGGTCTACTGCTATATTAACGACCGAACTAAATTATACTGATAATGTTGTTGGATGTTAAAATAACTGATAGTCAGAATACAAATAGTTTTTCAGTATTGACATGGCAATGTATGAAGTATTACCAGTGAATGAAGGATGCTCACGAAAAAAAGTCGTATTTTGATTTTCCAAGTAATTTTTACAATAATTAGGAAAACCGGAGAAAATATGAAAAATGAATAACAAACAAATTCACGGCATATGGTTTCATTGTTTTAAATTTTTACGTTTTATATTTTCTACCAAAAATATTACTCCAATAGAAAAACTACAAGAGTCTTTTTTTATTTAATTTTGAATCTAGTTGATGTAGAAGAAAGTCGTTTTTTGATTTTCCCTGTAGTTATCTTTAATAATTAAGCTGAATCGAGTTAAAAAGCTTTATATTGACAATGTGTTCAACAATTTACTCTTAAATATTCCTAAAATACTGTTATCAATTATATTATCAACTTTTGCTTTCAACAAGAATATTATTTGTTTGAACGTTTGATATGCGTTAGACTAGCCAATATCAGATATACCCTTTATGATAGTTAACAGTTTACAATTTATACTGCATGAGAAGGCATACGGTTATCACAAACAAATGTATATGAAATATATAACCCTTCCCTTAGTTTTAAACTGTTATTACTTGTAAAAATTTGATGTATACAATTCATTAGTGTTCTGTGGTATGCATATCAAAATGTTCTGTTTTCGAAATTGTGTTGAAAAGGAGGAGGTGACATTTGATAATTGAAAATAATTTGAAAAGGTTAATATATACCTATTAATTTAAGGTATAAGGAGTTGGGGTTTAATTTCGAGAATAGTGTTAAAATTAAATTAAAAGCTTTAACAGTTATAGAACATTATTGAAAAGTAACAAATATCAAATTTACATAAAATCCTCTCAGAAAATTGTAGGGTCGTTATGATGAAACAAATCACCCAGTATAATATATTCGTTTAGTTATTATAATAATAATACAAGTATGATACGTCATTATCAATCGATATTATAATTTTTCCACGATATTTGGGCATATATAATTACACGTTAGACTCTTTTAAAATAATTATGGGCATGTGTGTTTATCAAAGAACGAACGATGGTCGATGATGATGATGGGCTCACCAAAACCGGCTGGTAAAAAAAAAAAAAAAAAGCAATAACGATAAATGGAAACCAGAACACGTATAATTTTATTATAAGTACTCGTATATTATGCTGTGCCGAAGTATTATTTTCCATTAGTGAAAAGGAGGGATTTAGATTTATTAGTACATCATTTTTCGATTCAAAAGACTTGACTGTCGATTCCGTCGAACTATTAGCCGAATCGATAGACGACGCAGACAAACGCGATGCTCCTCGTGACCCGTGTCTGCCTTGGTTGGTTCGTGTTGATCGTCACGGTTTTTAAGGTAAGCAATACAGATTTTTTTATTAAAGTTTTTATATGAGGGGGAGTATATGAGGATGGTCAAGATACTTGAAAAAAAGGCTTTTGGATACAAGGTACTAAAGATACTTTTATCATTTTTAACTCTAGATACAAGATACTATAGATACTTTCATAATTGTTAACTCTAGATACAAGATACATATCTACAACATTTTCAAAACGACTCTATAGCTACAAGATATGAAATCTAAAAAATGTCGATTTTATTGCCATAAGGTAATAAATTTAAAATTTATTCAAACACATGTTATAAAATAAAGTATAATAAATTATAATAAATTATCATTCATTGCTTTCAAATTAATATTAAATTATCTATAACAATTGCTGCACTCGTCCCCAATATACTAGGATGTCTTTTTTGTATTTTCTTGTTAAGTTATTCATTTTGTAAATTAATAAATTATTAATGTTAAATAATACAGTATAAACACTTTAACAATCAAATTTAAATTTAAGTAACCCCTGAGACTGAATTATGATTAGAATGCTACAACTTCACAGGTTTTAAAATACATACACTGGCAATATTTCATATTTGTATTCACTTTTATTAGGTATTCTAATTTTTAATACCTAATTAATGATTTTTATTTTTAATTAACTTTAGTTATTAATTGAAGTTAATTTAATTTAATGGTATATTTTAATTTGATTTTTAATTAAATTGAAAAACATTTATTGAACTTAACAGTCAAAAAATATCATTAACTTGCCCAGTAGCTTGATATATACTATAACTATACCACACAATTTGGTTGACAACAAATGAATATATATTGATAATGTGGCATGTTTCACATTTGATATTTTGCATTTTGTATTGGGTGTAACAAGTTATTGCAAAAAAAGAAAAAAAAGATTTGGGCTCTTTAGGTCTCTTTAGGAGATGATGTATCATCCACATTAACCCCTTGAAGAACGCCACTAGTGTATTTTATAGGCTTATTTATGTGCGTATAAAACATTTCAGGAGATGCAATTCAAAAACTGGAAGAAATCCAACGGTCGTGCAGATGTGGCTAAAGACTTCCCGCTACCACTGCCGTTGGATCCCGTTCACAAATACAAAGAGCTGATACCGTTTTATGCAGTAAATATTATCAGTTTATCTTTATATGGAAATGTCGTGTCACTATTGCAGCTATATACACGAGACAATGATTGTTTTTTAATATTTTTGCGTCTGATAAATTAATTTTAAAATCTCGCAGAGTGTTCATATTCCCCTAAAAATCAAATTATAAATAATTTAATATTATGGGAAATAATTAAGAGGACGCCACATCCACGTGTGATGTCTCCATTATTTACGTACACATGAGTATGGCATAGTGAATTTGTGTTCAGCAGGGACATTATCTGTGCAACTACGTCAATATTTTTGATATGAAAGATATGCATACTCATGTGAAATATAACAGCTTAAACGTATTTATATCCCGCTTAAAAATTGAAATATCAAAAAAATCTAATCTTCTTGTCTTCAATTTTGATAATTAGTTCATTCACTCTAATATTATACGTTCATTAACTCAGCATCACCCATTTAGAATTTTCAAAAGTTGTCTACACATGTATTTAGTTGGAATGTAATTTATATGCATTTATTTAACCTTGGTTTTCCCATTATCATCAAAAGACAGTGCAAATAATATCATTCCAACCCGCCTCCCAACCATGGTTAGAAATTTATACATATATCGATTTGATTACACCATATGTTATTAGGTCTACTTTATTTGTACGAATTTATGTGACCGTTTTTAATATTTATACGATCGTCGTTTGGTGGAAATTACGGTAGGTTAGGTAAGTACATACGTAGTTATAAATATAGACAATAAATATTAGTATATTCGGAAGTGCATTAAAAAATAATATATATTCAAAGAAATTCTTTATATTCTGAATGTCCTTATATTTTAAGTTTTTTAAAAATATTGTTTAGCTACAATGTTGTAGTGGTTTCTAGAAATTTTGTATTTGATCTTCAATACGGTTTTATTGTCAAGATACGTAACGGTACATATATTTGAAACTTGAAAACGATAGGTATGTCTTTATATTATAATCTATAGAAAAATTGCGTTATGAGTCTATTGAAAATGCGTTGGATAATATTTGACATCAATCATGTTTGACCGCAGAAATAAGTAATACAACCGTCGTCTTGTGCTGTTTTAGATTCTGAGTGGAGTGAAGAAGCTCATGGTTTTTTCATGTGAAAATACTTAAACTCAATAATATTGTTTAATATTGACGAGATTAAAACGTCTCATGTGTGTTAATAACTTTAAATAAATTTGAGTTTGATCTATTAGTTATTTTTTTATTAGCGTTTTAGGATCAAATTTTGATGAAAATCGTAAATATTACGGCCTTTCAAAACGTGTATAAACGAAATTCGCTTCAAATTGGTTTTAGTTATCAATGGTTTATCGTTGCTTACAGATATAAACTAAATAACATTATGTAGCTTACCTTTTCAACTTCCTACTTACAGTGGTATACCCGTCGACAATATCAGCTCATTTTTCCTATATCAATTTATTATTATGCAATTTGACCACATTTAATAAGCGATATGATATTGTTAACTAAATGCTATAATATAATTATTACAATATGCATATAATCAGAAAATCGCCTCCTAATCGTATTGGCCACTTAATGAGTAATACTCGAATAATTTGATACATATTATACGAGTATTACACAAGTATAGGTAACAATATTGCATTAGAATTAACGGTTTCACTGTGTTATTTTGATTTTATTATTTCATAGACACCTGAAATTTTAACATAATACTTATATTATAGCCTTTAATAGACGTAGTTTTCGAAAACATTCCGACACGTTTAGAGTTGCCTGTTTAATAGGAATCTGCCATTTTATAGGTTTTTAAAATTTTTTATTTAGTTCTATCTGGAAAATTTGTTTAGTGGAACAAAAACAAGGCCGTTCTGCCCCATCACAGAACATCGTATTGGTGATTCTGCAGAATAGGCATCGAATGATTTTCGAACCTAACCAAATACCTAATAATTCGATTAGATATAGGTTAGGTAATTGAATATCTCTAACTGATACCTAATAAAGCTATTAAATATTAAGTATTATTAACTATTAAATATTAAAACTCGTTTTAATCCGTGAGAATACGCTCGTCATTTTGAGAATAGAACGGTCAATTCTTACACTAAGTAGGTATAATAAGATATACAAATAAATAATAATTATTATAGATAACTGCACGTTCCGTCCGTTTAATCCTTCTGTCCGCGATTATATAGACGTCTAATTATATTATTACAATTCATTCGTTAACGGCAATAGGTTTCGATAGAGCAGAGCCTACATAATGTACGACTACAATAATAAGAGGAACCGAAAATTCCCGGAAATTTTTGAGTTTTAATTCGTTTTTTTTTTTTTTTGATTTTATGTGGATACATTATACTTGTTTTGGTCTAACAAAACTAATTGCAAATGGTTTACGAAACTCGCCGTAAATTGTATTTAATGGTCAAGTTTAATGAAGAAATTCTATTTTTTTGATAAGCTTTTTTAAGTTAACATTTTGACAAAAATTATATAAATTAGAGATTTTCAAAACAAGTTTAACTGAACCTCGTTCAGAATCGTATATTTTTAGCAAAAATTTATCGTTGCTTACAGTTAATATACATTAAATAACCTTATGTACTATGTAGGTATCCTACCTTCCATACTTCCTACCTATAATGGTAGGACCAGCCGTTTATCTTGCAATGTTTACCTAGGTTTACACATTTTTCCATAGAATATTTTTGTACATTTGTTCGAATGTTATACATTTTAAAAACGGTTAAAATTCTCAGTATCAGATATTCAAAACCGTCGGTGAAGTTGAACCGACATTAATTAAATCCCACTATTTTTTAACGATAACGTGAAAACCAATGTCATACATATGCATACAAAATACATTCTAAATATCTGTGTAAAAAATTGAAAATTCTTAATGGGTGGTGCTGGGATAATGCACTTATATTATAGCGAATTGACTTATTCTTATACTTGAAGACAAGAACATTGCATATGCAACAACGTTGGTTTTTTTCGATATTTTAATTTTTAAACTAGATATTATGAGTATTCTTAATATGTTTGTAGGTCAGTGGCTGCATATGCGAATATGGCGTTCACTTAAGGGAAACAATAAAAATCAAATTATTTCTTCATATCCTGAAAGAATTGTCGTCTCGTAGAGATAGAAAACCTCATACGACTATAATAATTATAGTGAACTAGGGATCTGTCATATTCTTGTGTATAGGTTTTTAATGGCAAGGTAACGTTGGTCAACGATTTCAGAATTGGATCGGATAGCCAGCGGAAACGAAGACACAGCAAGAACGTCTATTCGGACTGGTCGGAGTGGAGTGCGTGTTCAGAAAAATGTATCACAACTAGACAGAGGTTGGTCGATAGTATTCTAGATTCTTTGTTTTCCAATGAATTGTGTGATATATGCGATGAATTAAGGAGGCCATTTTTTAAAAATTTTTTTTATACAGTTTTCAAAATTACTGGAAAAAAACATGAAAAAAATGTAAAAGAAAAACTGATAAATGTATGGTACTATAGATTTTATTATTATACATTTTTTCGATTTTTATTTTTCTATCGGAAATCTTGAATTAAAATTGAAGTATAGCATCCTTTCTGAATAAAATTGAAAGCAATGTAAGGGGTGATGTAGGTATAGTATCTAGTTCTTTTTTTTATCAGCATTTAAATATCGAGTTTTGACGAAAATCATTGAAAATACGGTATTTGGAAACATGTTTAACCAACTTCAGAATCCATTTTCGAATTTTGAACTTAATGCCTATGAAAAAAAACTACATTACGCTCAACTTTGACCATCAAGTACAATTTATAACGATAGCAATTTTGTTCGGTTAAACAATTTTATTTACATAAAACTAAACAACGCCTACTCGAAAAGTCCAAAACGTCAAATTCTGAAAATATAAATAAAAAATCGCCAGAATTTTTTTGACTCCTTTTATAGATATACTTGTAACCTATTACAAATGACGAACGAATTATTATTTTATTATTAAACGTTTATACAATCACGGACGAAATACGTTTTAAGTAATAATAAATTATTATATTCCTAAATATGTTAGTATGTATCTACCAAGTGAAGGTATTAGTGTATTATAACGATTAAACGGATTAAAACGAGTTTATAAGATCATATTATTATAATTTGTTGGCAATTAAAAACAACGAATAGGTATTTGAACGTAAGAAACAAAAAAAAAAATGAATACAAATTTGGGAAGGCACGTACAGTTATTTAATTTATATTTGTACACTTCCATAAACCATTGCTAATCAAAAACGATTCTGAGTGAAGTCTAATTTTGTACGTATTTCGAAATGTTATATTTATTCGTCCAAACTATTTTATCCACATAAAACCAAATAAAAATTTTAAAAAAAATCGAAAATGTTAAATAAGTATTCTGGGAAAATTTTATGTCGACGATTATTTTTAAACAAATAACAATAAAAAAACAAAATTGAAAATTATAGAACCGTAATAATATCGCATATTATACTCGTGTAATACTCAACTTATATTATTACGTCTAAAAAAAATTTGTAAAATTCGAGTACTTCAGTTAAGTGGCAAATATCTACAATTATAGGGCAATTAGGGCGATTTTCTGATTAAAAACGTATTATAATTTGTATACATAATTTATTTAGTATCGTTTATGGCTTATTAAAGTATTTTCATACTTACGTAATAATATATTGATATAGAAAAAATAAAATTTTTATATTTTAATATTATAATATATTAGGCGTCATTCGCGCTGACGTCAAAGAGTCGAGACCTGAAAATGATGCTGGAAAACCTGAGTGTACATCGCAGTTCTACATAAACTTAGGGGTCCAGTCATTGAAAAATACGGTACGGTGTTAGAAAAGTACTGTACAAACTAAAGTAAACGGTATTTGAAAATTTAAAAAAAGTCTTATAGTCATGTTGTTCAAAGGCAACAGCATCCATCCTATTCAACTTTACTTTCAATAACTGGTTTGGATACTTAGGCATTCTGAAGAGTTCTATCTGATCTTTGTTTTACTTATAAACTACTGAATGGGTATACATTTTTCTAAATTATTTACTCAGTTTAACCTTTTATTCCCGGTATGTCGTAATAGGTAATCTAATACGCTTTATTTGCCATTCCGCCATGTTAATTACTTTCAAAACGCTCTGATAGTAAGACTAATGGGCTTAGTAAATAAATTTAATGTCCACTTATTCTGTATTAAAAATATATGTTTTTTTAATCGTTTAATGTATACCTTAATAATTTTTTGTATAGTTTATGATGTATTCTGTTTTAATGTGATTACCATTACATCATGTAATACTGTATTTGATATTCTGTGCAATCGTTGTAGTTATATTAATCATTGGTTATCGCCCGTTTAAATAAAATAAATAAATAAAACACTTGCACAAAAATTAATTTTGCTGATAGAGACTTATGAATACATATTAGTACTCGTATTATTTATTTCAATGATACAGAGGTAGGATATATAGAACTTATTATTTGTACCTGTGCGTAACGATGTATCATTGCTAACAAAAATTAAAATACGATTCTGAACAAAGTTCGGTTAAATATATTATTAAATGCTGTATTTGATACGATACAAATATCAAATATTTGTAAATAGTTCAAAATTCGATTCGTGTTAAACTTGAAGAATTTGTGCTCGTTCAAAACTGCAATTTTTATCCGTAAAAACCAAATAAGAATTGGAAATCTCGAAAAAGTAAAATACCTATAAAAACCTAAAAAAAACTCCAGAATATGTTACCTAACTTAACCTAACCTTACCACACTTAAACAAATATAATATAAGTATTCTGTGAACATTTCATATATCTACGATTATTTTTATCTGAATTACAATAAAAAAACAAGATCGAAAATAATGAAACCTTTAACGCCGTGAATTTTCCCATTTTTCAAACATTTTCCCTGTTTTTCGCAATTATCAAGAAAACTACACAGGAAATTAAAAAAACAGACTTTTATACATTTAACTAGACAAACTTTCTTTCAGAAAAAATGCTTATAAACATTAAAATCTTAATATCTTTTTGAATGATAGTTTTATGTTATCAATATTTATCACGATAACATGATATTATACTTGCATTTTTTTCATTTCGTTAAAGCATATTAATGTAGATATTTCTACTGTATTTTGTGTGTCATATATGTATTTAAATAAGTGCTGTAGTTACACAAAAATTAATACAAGAGCTTTTTTGTATTATTTACATTCAAGTTAAGTAGTAGTATATAAAACATATAACTATTAAAGACTAACAAAGTGGTAAAATCTCATAATCATTTTATCATTATTATTATACGATAGACAAATAGTATTATTTTATTAATTACAAAAATATCAGTTTTATTGGTCCAGGCATTATCAATATTTCGATTTTAAACAACAATAATTAATAAATATGTTGGACATAAGGCATTTTTGAATTAATTTTTTTGTTTCATCATATTGGAATTATTTTTAGATTTATCGCTATTGCCTAAGCACCTATCGTATTTAATTAATTTTTGATTCTGATAATGATAAAATTAATAAAAATGTGTGGGTTATTTTTATGAAATGTTAACGAATGACCAAAGATTTGACCAATCATAAACGACCTGTTATAAAACCACATGTGGTATAGGAAAAGCCACCCGGTATATTTTACATACGAATGAAAATAACGAATACTTGGAAATGTCTTTTTAAGGTTTAGTATGTTTTCGTCTTTTCGTCAGAAGAAATAACAGGTATAATTGTTAACTATATGGTTATATTAGTGATATTTTTAATCAGAAATCGGTATCAATTTGTAACCAAATGATAATAACCATTCAACATTGTCTTACTACTTATTATTTTTAGAAATCTACCTAAGAATAGAATATTTATTTTCCTTGTTCGTATCGTTCTTATTAATTTGATATGCGACTAATTGTTTGTTACCAATTTACTTGTATAGTCTTCATGTTGTTATGTGATGTGTAGGAATTGTATGCGGCCAAAAATTTGTGGTACAAACATCATGACAGAATCGTCCCGTTGTTTTACTACGGTAGGTTCGGTTGAATGCCCGGTGCTCATTGTGATCAATTCTGACTACGAACAAACTCCCACTACGGGCCTACAGAGATGGCCTGATAACGGTAAGGTTAGGTTAGGAAATTTTTCATATTATTTGTTATCTTAAATGAAAAATTGTATGTATAGTTTTTATTTATAGGTGACTGGAATTTTACGTGTGGTGTTACTGTACAGGATACGGCCGCAGTCTCTTACTTCCAGTCTCCCAGATATTCAACAAAAATAATGGGAGGCAGGGAATCCGACAGATTCCGCTGGCCTTGGCAAGTAGCAGTGTTGAGCGGATTGAAAGTAAATTCCCAGAAATCCGAAAAAGTTTTGTTCTTGGTACCTCATACTTAGCTAATATAGTTAATTGCAGAGAGTTGTGAATTTTTAGGAGCTAATCTGCGGTGGTACTCTAATCACCCCAGGTTGGGTACTCACGGCCGCGCACTGTTCCCGGAGAAAACTGTACGTTCGACTGATGGAACATGACTTGTACGCAGACGAAGGCAGCGAATTAGACGTTAGGGTAAGCGTAGTGATACCATGTCTACTACAATCTGTTGTAAAAATTTCGTGCAGACTATACGACTGACGTAAAGGAATTCAATCGAACGTCAATGTTACCACATTTGTCGATTCGTGTCCAACTAGATAAAAAAAATCCACTCCACTCCTCAAGCGAAGACAATCGAAAGGACATTTGCGATTATCGTTCATTCGGTTGTGTTATCCATATATAACCTAAACCAACTTCACTGTATAATTTATACACGATGTGTGACTTCGTTTTCCTTGGTTAAGACTTTGGATGGATTGTCATTGACAAAACGAAACACTTTATGCAAACGCAAAACTGAATGTGGACCAAAGAGGGACTTTTTAGGAACCGAATAATTTTTCTTCTTCGTTTACTGAATGTTAGACCTTATCATAGCGAATATAGATTTCCATTCCTCCTCTTTAATGCCATAATATTCATATGGTAATATCTATTGCATCCAGTCATTTCAATACTTATCTCATGAACAGTGACGGACCAGACCTTCATTTTTTTTGGCGAAGGAGGGGAGGAGACCACTTACAAAAATGAAACCTAGAAAATATTTTATTACAATATAAAAAGAAGCATACTATACTGCAATGTTTAGCTGGAGAAAATTACCTCTTCACTTATGTCCATTGAGTATTTTCAATATGCTGGTTATGAAGGGGTTATGTGTCAGTAAACTTATGGGAACTATTTATCGCTTCTTGATATAATAATAGATATTATTTTTTTCTCTGATGGTCCCTAAAAAGTTGATTTTCAATCGTATTTAAACTTCTGCAATAAAACAGCAAGTTTCATCGTGTTCTCTCATGGTGTTTGTGTCCCATTTTAGACAGTTTTCACTGGTGTCGTATTATAATTTAATGATATTGAATGATTTTTACGATTTTTCTTTAGGTTGATCGGATTATCGTACATCCGAGGTACAATCCGTATACGGTCGATAACGACGTGGCTTTGTTAAAACTACGCACGTCTGACTTAGAGATGAACGGCGGCGGCCACTACTTACCGCCTGCCTGTCTGCCGGTTTCCGATTTTCGGCAACGTAAACGGAAGCCTACGAAGTGCGTGGTTATAGGATGGGGTAAAGTTCGATCGCGGGACCCGTATGGATCTCAAATATTGCAGGAAGCCACGGTAAGTCTGAAATGCTGCACTTTAGTATGTAGGGCATAAGAGCAAGGACCAAACCAAAGAAGGGGCTGTAAAAACAGATTGTTCATTATCAACCTTTATAACATAAACCTGATTACTTTTTTTTTTTTAATGAGTATTTAAGTATATTAATATTACAATCAGTCAAATCGACAAGTGTAATAAATATTATTAAAAAAAAACCGAGAATAGAATATTATGGGCAAAAAGGTAGATTTTGTAAAATTAATTGGCTTAGCTGTCCCTCTAAAAAACTAAATTTCACTACGGCATTGAACGGTACGAGTCGAGCCTTATAACAAGTTAATTGTGTGTTCATAATATGAGCAATCAAAATATGAATTTATTTTTCACGAAAATGTTGCAGTGCAACCCGTTGAAATTATCAACAACAGTTTAATTTTATCATTGAATTCCAAAATCCTATACATGATTTCGGCAATCGCATTTGACAGATGCATTACACAGATATCAGTTATATAGGTATATACATGCATAAAGTAGACGAATTTTATTGATATTGAAATATTTCAAATAGTTTAGACTGTACCTAGGATAGGAATGCAATGGTGACGTCTATTTGAATTATTCTAATCCGAGTAATACATGACCAATATATTATTACTAAAAACTGCAATGTATCTAGACATTAAATTATTGACAAAAAAATTAATTAAATCAAATATATAGGTATAAATATCTTTAGAGCATCTATAACAACTGTCATCGTGGCATTGACTCGGTTGAAACAGATACTAACTCCCACCGATCTTCCTAATAAGAGAATCCCTATTTCAATCTAAGTCCGTCTCGCTGAAATATTTGGGTTACCATTTAGATACCATTTGGGTTAACTGTGTATACAGGGTGATTCTTTTATCATGACCCATAGTCATTGTTATGATCAATTTATTAACCTGGCTCTACTCCTCTGGTCTAAACTTTTAAGTGGTAAGATTCATAAACAATAATTCCGACATTATAATGTAACGGTGTTTTATATATTATCGAAATGTTTAGAAAATATTCTTTTTGCGAATCTGTGTTGAAAAAAGTGAATTGTCATTTGAAAATCAAAAATTAAACTCCTATAAAGATATTTGGGGTAAAAATTGAAAGCTTAAAAAATTTAAAAATAAAATTATAGAACTGCAGACATTAAATGTATGCTTAAAATCCTTTGAAAATAATCGCTGAGTCGTGATCAAAAAATCATTCTGTATACATTATGATTTATGATACTGTAAAACTGTATAATATATACGATGAAAAACGAATTTGAATGTAGGTATCGAGATTTTAATTAAAAAATAATCAACTATACAAGTAATAGATAATATTTTTTTTTTAACCTAACAGCTATAATAATTTTAATCACGATAATAATTTGAAATTAAAAAAAAACGAGTGGGACATTTTATTTTATAGAAACTGGATGCTATTATATACCTATTATAGATATTTTTTAAGCTTCGTCGATGACCTTGACACAATATTGCATTTTGTTATACTATAATAAAATTAAATGCGATTCGTTAAGTATGATGGTAAATTGTTACCAACGGAAATATACATTTTATCTCTGTTTATTTACTGCATTTTAGTAATAAGTCGTATAATAGGTATTTCATTAAATGTTTTTCGCGATATTACCGAAAACTATTTGATTATATGATACCGTGAAAATGAGCTTCATCATTATTATTTTAACATGTATAGATGTACAAATAGAAGCGATAAAGATCATAGTACAAAACTTTCGTTGATGGATATAATGGAGGGACAGGTTTCAGTAAGAAATAATTAAATAATAAATTACGAGTCCCGAAAAAAAAAAAAAAACAAAAAAACCAGTACATAAAATTAATAACCATTATAGAATAATGAGTATTGAAAGGAACGTGCTGATTTATAGTATTTTTGTACTATAGTTTTTAAATATTTTTTACTTACAAGACGTCGAAAAAATATAAAGTAGAAGAGTTAGCTCAACATTTTTCCTATTTTACCATAAAACACTTCTATTGTCTCAGCTTCACTATTTAATGGAGGCTTCAGTCCCTTAACTCCGTAATTTCGGTATCTATGTACACAATACAGTGTGTGTTAATTTTCTATTAATGATATTAATGTTATTCATCATAATATTTTATGTTGGATATAAAGTCTCGTTGTACATAAATTATCTTGGTCATGCCTATTTTAGGTACCTTGTAGCAGCAACACAAATATATGAGAGGGAGTTATTACCTCCCGCCTCACTTCGAATTTTGAGGTGTTTTACAAATTTTCGTAATACGTAGTTCCGTAATTTCTATTAAAATTACAGACATTTCCTAATAATTCTGAACAGGTACTCATCAATCATGCACGTCACCTATTCAGTAATTTAATATTCCGAAGACCTGTACCAAAATTTGTTTGAAATTTACAACCCCTGTGAAAAAAAAAAAAAAAAAGAACCTAAGTTGTGCCACTACCTAATAGACTGATATTATTTTGTGAGTATAATATTTCGTGAAAAAAATGACTTGTACACAATTATATGGACAAAGCGTCAGCGGGGAATCGAATTGCGGGCGGGGTCCGGAATTCGGATGAGAGCGTTGGTGCGCCTTACCGGATTTGAATAATTCGGCAGTTATTAACCTAGTCCACGACTTTGTTACTACACGCGTTAGAATTACTTAAATAATATTATTTATTATTCGCGGTGAAATCCGCGTGCCAACAGGTGCCGATCGTGAGACAGAGACAGTGCCGGGCCGCGTACCGACGGTACATGATCACGGACAACATGTTTTGCGCCGGTTACAAAGACGGCCGGTCAGACACATGTTCGGGTGACTCGGGCGGACCGCTGCTGTGCCGGATGCATGGTCGGTGGACGGTGGTGGGGGTGACAAGTTTTGGCGACGGATGCGGTCGCCGGGGCAAGTATGGGATCTATGCCAGTGTGGCCAACTACGTGCGGTGGATCGTGACGGCTACGAGAGCGGCCGACTCCGGTTAATACCAGTATATTTGTCTAAGCCTATAACCATAACCTTGCTGTTCGAGTATAATAGGTAGGTACCACGTTCGTTATGAATTCGCAGATATTTCGTCTCGTACCTGTTCGATTGCAGATTATCCTTGTTATTATAACTACCTCATTTCTTAAAACAATAAACAAATGCCTTCAATCGATTAATATTGTTATTATTGTCGTACCCCTTTCTTTAATAATATTATGTCTTATCCTTTCGACATTCTTTTTCCGAGATTTTAGTATTCCGGTTTTTTTTAGCTAATGAACCGAATTTAATATATCGTTGAATGTACGTGTTAGAATTTAAAACACAAAGAATACAAAATGGACACGGCTGGTTGTTTAACAATATATATTTTTTCGAATTATTAGAGTACTATAATGATAATCTGTCGAACAAGAGACGAAAAAATTAGCTTCACCGGTTAACGGAATTTTAAATAGGCAAATACATATACACATCAGTATTTTGTCTTGCGATTCCTTATAGGGCTTTTTTTTATCGGAGAATAATTTTCTCAATTGTAAATTTTTTGGCCACCCATGTGTTAAGAAATTTAAATCATCTCATAAATTAATCGATTTTTGATGATTCTTTGATTTTTGTAAAATATTGCCGAAAGCACGAGAAATATTGATCGCAGTGTTATATATTTTATGAATCTATTCAATAAAATGAAATTCTTTACCGCAGTGCGACGTATTTGTTAGTTTATTGCGTTATCGTATAGACAAAGCAATTGAAGCGAACTGTAGTAATATTGTCAATAACTATACAAAACCGAGTAAGAGCTGTACATTTATTAATATATGATCCGATCATCGATATTATTTTTTTTAGATTCTGAATGCAGAGGTTGAGAAAAACGAGGAATATATTAGTTTACTCTGATGTGAGGTACTTTTCTAGATTCTGAGCATAATTAAAAATGTATTGATTTTTACAATGATGTTTATTTTAATTTTTTTTTATATATATGAACAACCATTCTACCAGAAATCTTGTTCCGATAAATCAAGTGTAACATATTTTCTGAAACACAATTTTATCTATTAGGTACTTGGTAATTATTTTGATTTTCCTAATGGTTTTCATAATAATTAGGAAAAACTGTGAAAAAGTGTGGACAATTTACGAAGATAGGTAATGATTTCATTATTTTCACATTTATTTTTATTGTAATAATTTTTTAAATTTTTTTAATAAATTTTCTTCAGAAGAAGTGGCAATTATTTTCTAGTTGGTATTTGTGTATAGGTAGATAATTTTTTTGTTTTCCTTATAGTTTTCTTGATAACAGGGATATACGTCGAAAACGGGAATATGTACATAATTTTTGTTACTTATGATTTAGTATAAAATAACCGCAGAGACCCTAAACTTCCACCAACTACTTATATCAGCATTGTTTGTACGTGGTATGATTTCCTTGTATTTTGGGGTTGTTTATGTTATCTATATCTATTTGAAATTTTCGAGTTTTTATTTGGTTTCTTAAAAACTATCTTCTCTAGGTAAACAACCTACACTTTGTCTACATTGAACTGGAGTGGATGAATTCTAATCCTAATAACCATGATTACAAATTTCGATTGGAATAATTTTCGATTAGGTAGGTATTTATATCAGATCAATAAAAACCGACAAAAACTTACACTCTTAGTAAATATTAAGAATTTGAAGTTTAATTTAAAACAAATTTGTATTTAATTTTTTTATTTACATCAGGAGCGTCGAGGCTGAATCTTAATGGTCCGGTAGATATCGTACGTTGTAGTTTAAAATGCGTGGGTATCTATAGGCATAGTGTGAATGCTACATGTAAACTTCTGAAACAATCTAAAACATAGTTTAAACTCCTACATAGTCCCTTTTTACCTGCCTAAAATAAATTGTGTAATCTCCTATACAGACCTTTGCACATTTTTAAGTTTGGGTTAGGTAATGGCTTATTTCATATTACAATACTTTTATATATATAACGGTAGGTACTTTTAGTTTGAATATATTGTATGTTTTCATTATTTTGGAGCGGTGTTGTTGAGTTAATTCCCGAGACTTACTTTTTGTATTAGTTGATTCCCGGATTATTAAGAAGTATGTACGAATTGATTCCCTTATTTATGTTTATCAGTTATATGATACATAATGCATATTATGATAATGTGATGAATGAACGGCTCCATCTGAGTTCCGTCACAAATGTAAAATTTGAATTTAAGGATATACTAATTCCGTACGGTGTTTATTTAGTTATACGTATTTTCTATACTATATTAATATAGTATATAATTAACGACTACGGTAACAATTTTATATTATTTAGAAATCAAGATAGTATTGCTTTCAGTTATCATACTAAATAACCGAATTTAATGATATTGTATTATTTAGAAATAATAATAATATTGCTTTCAGTTTTAAATAAATAAACGAAGCACTAAATAATCGAATTTGTATACATTAATACTTAAATATTTTATTTGAATTTTTTTTGTATTTTAACATTGATAAGAACATTTTTAATCGGGACGGAATTGATGTATACTTTTTTCACTCCGGACGGAATTGATATATACATATTTTTCACCCGGGACAGATTTGGTATGAAAAAAGATTATTGGGATGGAACTCGGATGCAGTAGAATGAACACTTCAGCCTATTAGCGTTACTCAAGACACTGAAAAAACTGATATCTGGTAATGAGATTACCAGTATACTTTTTCATTACTTCTCTCATAAAAACTTCTATTTCTTGGTTTTCTTGAATTTTCTAGTCCTATTGCTTCTGCATTTAATATACGTTTTCGACTGCCCTTTTAACAGCTTATCAAAAAATTAAAAAACTTTCGGGTGCCCACTATAAAATCAACTGTTGAGTTTCGAATCATAACTCTCATAGCTATTCATAGTTTTGTTTATAGTAGTGGAGAATTGAGCCCATTTACTTGGGAAAGTCGATTTTAAGTAGACTTCACAAAAATTTCAAATCTGTTTCCAGAATATATATCGCTTCACTAGATCAATCGGTACGTTGGAATTAAAACACGTCTAAATCCCTATACCTCACGTATGTATCACAAAGACAGAAAATCGTCACTTCCAATTTCCTTAAAATTATTATTTAAAATAGTAACAAAAATATAATTTAGTAAACATATTAACGTAATAGTATAAGAAATTCTCAAACATTTTGATAACTTTATTTCGATACGTTATTTCCGTAAATGGAATTACAACATTATCTTACTCTTTTTTCAGACATGAGACTGTTCTCAAAATACGTCCATTTTAAAATAATTAGATATTCTATCCGTTTCTGTCGGATCGTAATGTGAAGGTAGCCATACGAGCTCCGATGAAAAAAAATATAGTAATAAGTTTTTACTAATAACAACTATAAAAATTATAATTGTAATATTGATCACTTATTCGTCGATGAAAATAGTAACAATGTAACTTTTTAAAATTTTCTTAAATGAGACTTTTCAGGTTTATCTAAGTGCTTGTCGAGTATTGATTTTAATCAATCATTTCATAATTTAATTATAGATTTTGCCGTCGATAAATACTATAAAATTATAAACCATTTTATTGAAACGATTGTTCCTAAATGTAAAGTATTTAATTACCAGTATCCTGATTGGTGTAATCCAGAATTACGTAGACTAGTAAATTTAAAAAAATTTAAAAATTAAAAGTAAGTTCGTTACAATATAAATTACATTAAAAAAACAAAATTGAAAATAATGAAACAATTATTCTCGTACATTTTATTGTACTTTCTGCATTTTTTTTTTGCATTTGCTTAATTATTAAGAAAATTACTTAGAAAATTATAAAAAGACTTTCTTGTTTACTAACTAGATTACAAATTCAATAAAAAAGATCACTTGATATTTTTTTATTGGAGCAATATTTATGGTAAAGAATATAAGCCGTACAAATTTAAAATAATGAAATGGTTGTGCCATAATTTGAACAAAATCATATATTTCGTCCTTTTTGGGTTTTCTCAATTATTATGAAAAATACTTTAGATTTCGAAAAATGACTTACATTGCTAGTAACAAGTTATTATAAAGAATAAAATTGATCCCATGTCATTTTTCGATTGGAGTAATTTCTGGTATAAAACATCGTGTTAACATAATAAAAACAATGAAAAAGGTAACGCCGTGGCGTAAATATTTGCCGTTTTACATATATTTTTCGTTCGGGGTTTTCCCGATTATTTTGAAAACCCCTTGGAAAATCAAAAAATGACCTCCTCAATGCACCAACAGAGAGAAATTTACCTCTCAGAAAAGTTACTATGGTCTATATTTCGGAGCAAGTTTTCTTGTAGAAAAGTTGTTCGCAGACACAAAAAAAAAAACCACAAATCATAGTAAAATTTATAGATCCCTCGCTACGCTCCGATTCTAAAATAATTGAATTCTCTAGGATGAAAGATAAATACGCCATTTTTTGTTTGTATAACACTCTTACTCATTATAAGTAATCATCATTATTCTAATTAAATACGTATAAATCATTTTTAGTTAATTGGAGGTACACATCGAATAAAGCAACTATAATTTGATAGATTGATGTTAGATTAGGTTAGTGATCTCCGTTAAAATAAAACGTCCATTTAACAGTTTTTTTTTAAATTTTATTTCAACGTCGAAAAAAAAAAACCAAACAAAAACATCATAAAACAAAAAAATAAAATAAAATAAAAAACAAAACTTAAATTAATTTTACCATAATAATAATAATGACCGCGTACATAATAAATATCATATAGGTAAGTAATTTATTGTGTATCGACAATCTTACACATTTTCGGCAAAACATTTTCGTTTACATTTGTAGTCGAAATTCATCATCACGCAAAAGGGTTGAAAAAATTTAAAAAAAAAACAGCTGTATAATGAGACTAGTCTAAAAAAAAAAAAAGTAATTTGTAACACACGCATATGTTATATATTTTATAATCTTATTATTAAATTTTTTTTTTTTTTACGTTGATTTACAAAACGTAAAAGTTTACAAACACCGAAAAAACAACACCCACACGATAATTTTTTTTTTATTATTATTACAATAAACCTACTTATATGATTAATTATGGGTAATTTTTTTTTATGTATCATGATTATTCCGTTTTGGCTTTGTTGATCGTTTTTTTTTATTTTTTTATTTTTTTTATTTTTTTTTTTTTTAATATTATTATTATATATTAAAGAAATATTATTTTTATTTTATGTCCCTGAATTTTTCTTTTTGTTCATAAAATCACAGTAAAAAACAAGTGTGCGACTTAATGCGCTTGGTTAAAATTTTTAAAACTTAACACTGTTTCATTTTACAAACATATGGAAAACAATAACAAAAACAAAAAAAAAAAATACTCCTTGCAATGTTTGTCTATGCGTGAATGAATAAAATATTTTGTGTCAGGACCGTTTCCCTCCAAAAATGGGATACCGTTTTCTTATACCCTCCTCATTTTTATCTTCCTCCTTAAAAAAAGTCATACTTTTTATTTTGTTTGGAAAGATTTCTTTGAACTTTTAGCATTTGTTTTTTCCATATTTTCCTGTTGTCTGCCATATTCTTGAGCTCTTCGTAAGAAATAATTCCCGCACCATCCTTCATTAATTATTTGATGATATACTTCGTTCCTTGTAACTCATACCTTGGTCTTTCTCTTGATTGTGATCCTTCCTTTAATTAATGAGCTGTGTTACCATTTATTTCTATATCTCAGTGCGTGTCTTAATATCATTTGCCATTCTCTATATTCTTTTGAGTATCTAATAATATCCGTTTCTCTTCTATTGTCTTATAAAATCGTGTTTATTTTTTGTTTACATACTTACAAAAAGTCCTAATTTTAACCAACTGCCTTATTAACTGTTACGTAAACCGAATCAAAAATTAATCTTAAAGAACCCGATCAAAATTCTATGGAATCTAATCAATTAAACATCACAAAATAAAACGTATTATATCGTTTACAATTATTTTTGAAAATGTGAATCTATTTGATTTTTCAACTTATTAACTACAGATATTTTAATGTATATTCCTCATTCAAATATGAACAAAACATGTGAATTATACAGGTGTACAAATATTAATATTATTTTTTTTTTGGGGAGGGGGGTTTGGAGGAAAACGGTATCTATCTAGTTTCTAGAGGAAAACAGCTACAGCTTTTTTTTAAATTCATAAATAAAATAAAAATCGGCATGTTTATATAAAATTAAAGAAAATGAAAATTTATTTTTGGAATTTGGCTAGTCATTTGTGTTTTTATTAATAATAAATAATATAGGTACGGAACTCATAAGTAATAATAATTTTGATAATCTTATACAAATAATTATAATTATAATATTATAATGTTATAATAATATATTTTTAGTATGGAAATTATAAATTTAATCAGGTAACATAGCACAATTCATGTTTTTTTTGTTTTTACAAAAAAACATTCGATTTTGTTAAAATTTCAAAAATAAAAACACTTAATAAGGCGTTCGTTATAATAAATATCATATGGTATAAGTACTTATAAAAATTTAATTGTTTAAAGTTTATCGTTCATATGGTATATTATATAATAATATTATTATAAGAAGAGATGACATAAATGATAATATTATTTTATTGTATGTATTTGTCATTTTACGACAAAAATAATGAGTTTCTAACAGTTTATGTATACTTTGTTTCTTATTTTTTTTTTTTGTATTGAAGTTATTATGGACTCGGTGGGGTGGCTAGCACGATTTTTTTGAAGTCAAAATTCATTCGAAATTAGCAACGGGGTAGTGGGCTATTCAGAGCTTGTAGCAATATAACCATAATAAATACAGCAGATATTTATGTGTTAATGTTTTTATACATTTATTGGTTGGTAAAAAAAAAATAATAATAATAACTTGTTTCTACCAAAATATATTTCATGAACTAACGATTCTACAAGTATTTAAAATTTTATCTTTCATTATATTTTAAAATTTTGAACGTTTTTAGAGAATATAATTTTAAGGATATTTTAAATTCAACAAATTGCGAATATTACAAAATAATCGTTTCAGATTTTTGGAGTAAAAATTTCAAATACGAATCGTTTCAAAGAGTACACATTTCTTTTTTTTGTTGTGGAACATATTTTAATAGCATAACTGCATTCCTGTTAAATATAACTTTTTAGGTAATATAAATATCTGCCCTACTATATTAACACTGTATTATTCATTAAAGAGAGTTGGTTAATGGTATTGGATATTTAAGAAAATGTTTGAGCTCCGTTCGAAAATTAAGTTTTATATTTTGTCAGTGGCATACTTTCGGGAGGGAGGGATAAGTCCTCTTCTAGAACATGGTTGTATATAGGTTTTAACTTTGGTTTCTGAAACCACTTATTGTGTGTCCGTTATATATTAATGTATCATTTAAATCCCTAAATCCAATAAAATTAGTATTATAGATCTGAATAAGTATTTAATTTATAGAGTGTGTGTCATTCGTGGTTAAAAACTAAAGGCAGATAATGAAAAAATCAAGGGTGTGCATTAACGAGTTAATAATTTCTGAATTAATTTATTTTTAATTATTAACTCAGCTTTTAACATTTGATTTTTTTTATTTTTATTAACTTGTCTTATTATTTTTTTCACTTCAAATAAATAAAGAGTTAATCTTGAATTAAAAAGTATCTACCATGTTAGGCAAATTTTAATTTTAACACAGTATTTAATTTATAATCTTACTATTATATTCACAGAAAATTTGAAAAAAAAATCATTCAATTTAACTTTTGAATAAAACGGTTAATTTTTAACTAGTTAACTTGTTAAATTTTGTTGTAAATTAATTTTAAGCTTTATTGAGTGAGTGTTACTAGTTAACTTTCCCAGACTTGGGTAATACAAAATCTTCGTAAAAACGCACGAATGTCAAATTTTGTGAAGATTTCATCGATGTGTTAAAAAAATTCTAAGGTAAGTATAGAAATGGTAATACCTAAGTTATTTAATTTGAAGTTATTTTAAAGTAATTTACTTAATTTTTAATCGAATTTTTGGTTTGTAAAAACACGAAGTCACGTAATAATGTTATTATATTGAACACGCTATTGTGGAAGTTAATTCAGTATTAAAATCCAACACGGACAAAAAATATTTAACAGAAATAAAAAATTGACAATTGCTAGATCTGATAATAATGATAAAAACAATAAAAAAAAAATTACCTTATATATCTTTGGTTCCAGGGAAGAAGGACTTATGGCTATCGAAGTCGATTTTCTTTATTTTATAAAATTTAAAAATTATCTTTAACATTTTTATGACTACTTTAATGATAAGACACTTCTACTAATATACTACCCGATACCTATTTAAGGAAAAAGTGTAAGGTCAGTTTTACGGACGAAAATAACCTTGCGAGAAAAACTCACGTTTTGTAAACCGTTTCAACTAAAATATAATATTTTTTTATTTCAAAGCAAAATTTTTTACAGGTTACAGCGTATTCCGTAACTCCGTATTTTGATTAATTTGTATGTAATGTCAGAAGAAATGTTAAAAAAAAAAAAAACAAAAATTGAAAATTTTTAGACGCTCATAACAGTTCCTACTTTTCCTAGGAATTTGAATTTTGAAAATTACTGATCAATGTGACCTCTAAAAAGTCTTCATTTATCAAATGATAATAATTAAAATAAATCAAAATCAAACTTCTACGTAACGTGAGAGTATTTCCGCAATGCATGATTTGTACAAAATATACGGTGGCCTCAAGTCAATTTCGTATAGTTTTTAATGCAAGTAAATAAAATTATGAGAATTGCTAAATGTCCGAATTTTGTATATAATAAATATGCATTTTTTTCCCCAAACAAAAGTGCATTACACAGTGACTTAAGATATTTTAATTTGAATATAATATGTGTTGGAATATCTATATAATTATGCCGTTTAGACAGAAAATTACATAGGATGAAATCGGCATCTGAATGGTTAACTTAAGAATTTTTTTCTGTTAATATTTGATTTAAAATTTGTTTGGTAATTGAAAAAACATTATCTAATGTGAAGTGTGTATAAGAATTTTAAAATTATATTTATCTGTTAATCTGTTAATACGACTCCCTCCTACACCTACAAGATTAAATTATATTAAAAAAAGTATACAAAAAAAATGCTAACAATCGACTTAAGCCTTTCTTTCGTGGAACCAAATATATAACTTATATATAACACTTCGTTTTTCAAAGAATTATAAATAGATAATATTATTACAATATAATGTAGCAATTAAAAAAATGAAAACCGTTTCAAGCACACCCTATTTATTAATAAATCATCATAATATTTATCCGGGACGTCGGGCGTAGTACGTACTTATAAGATTTTTACCATAGAAAAATTATATTTACACGGAAAATAATATTATATTATACGAACGTTAATAACACTTCACACAAACGCAAACACACACACACACACACACACTCACTAAATAAATAATTAAATTATAGAATATCATGTATAATATTACGATTATCTTTAAATATTATTTTTGTATTATTATAATTATAATTATTTAATATTATATGATTAGATAAATATTTAAAAATTATTGTTACAGTTTTTTTTAAAAAATTTTTTTTACGAAAACCATATAATTTATGTTATTATAATGCGTATACCACGAAATTTTTAACACGTGTATTATAATATATAGTACGGGTACAATAGACACGAAAAATAAACTATAATATTTTATTTTAAAAACTTGATTGTTCTTTATTATATTTGCATATAATATAATATTGTTATGCTCATATATTATTTATTTTAATTTTAACATTAATAATTAGTTATGGATTTATTTATGTATTAATTAATATTATTTATAAATAGCGGTTATTTTTAAGTGAAAGTCAAAAGCTCTCTGCGATATGATAATATATAATATTATTATAATAAAACGTCGCGTTTATTATAATAATAATAATAATAATAATAATATAATAAATCTTAAACCTAATCACAAAACATTTAAATTACTTTGTTATTGTTCATCGTTGTAAAAACTAAATTCTAATATTGTTATTAATTTTATTGAATGGTCTTGTTTTCAAAATGATGTTTTAATCGATCTTCGCGATATGATAATAGCGATATGATAATATGTAATATTATTATAAAAAAATTTCGCGTTTATAATAATAATAATCATATAATAAATCTTAAAGCTAATCACAAAACGTTCACATTACTTTATCCTTATTCATCGTTGTAAAAATTAAATTCTAATATTATTATTAATTTTATTAAATGGTCTTATTTTTAAAATATTTTTTAATCGCTCTCTGCAATATGATAATATGTAATATTATTATAACAAAACTTCGCGTTTATAATAATAATAATAATAATATAATAAATCTTAAAGCTAATCACAAAATATTCACATTACTTTATCATTAATCGTCGTAAAAATTAAATTCTAATATTATTATTAATTTTATTGAATGATCTTGTTTTCGAAACGATTTTTTAATCGCTCTCTGCGATATGATAATATATAATATTATTATAACAAAACGTTGCGTTTATAATAGTAATAATATAATAAATCTTAAAGCTAATCACAAAACATTCACATTACTTTATTTTTTTTTTTTGTATGGTTTTATAGGTAAGGCTCGACGTGGTCCCAATCAGACCGTTGTCTGGTGAGCCTTTCGAATACAGTCTTTTCGATTTTGTACTCTCCGGTGCCAGCTTGCTTGCACAGGGTACTCAGAATGTCTTGATTTTCGACGGTTTTCGTCGGTAACACGATCTGGAAGTATAAGTTTTCAAATTACCTACTACGGTGATTATTTTGTTTAAAATTTAAAAAAAAAAAAAATGATAATATTAAAATTACATTTATGAGATCGTTTGGTGCGATTTTCACCAAATTAATATCCTTTTTCAACCTCGTCATGATGTGAGTGAATTCTTCTTTGGCGTTGGCTTTCGACTCACTCTTGTTCGTAGCCCATTTAATCATTGCTTGGAACTTGCGTATTTCCGATACTTCCAGCGGTCTGTTCATGATCTGTTGCACCAACGATTCGGACAGCGTAAGAAAATCACAGTGATTCAAAACCTGAATAAAATAAATATTTGTTCGTATATTACAAGTGAATTACATGGGTACTTGAACTTTTGCTCCTGTTGTTAAAAAAGACAAAAAAAAGCAAAAAGTTCACATCGTGAAACACGTACCCTCAACGCGTTCTGTTCGATATAAGTAAATATCAAATTGACCAATTCTACGGCCGAATTGTATCGCCACACGTAATTTTCTAAACTGTTCAACATCAGACATATCTGAAATCGATCGCGATTGTTCGGATTAAGATAGGTTAGGTGAGGACATAAACTAAGTAGGTACTTATTATTATATAAGGGATTTAATAATAGCTTATGCTCACCACATCGACTCTTAAATGCTGTTTGGTGTGATGGAAGCACGCTTGCAAAAGTTCCGGCAAATCGTAGTGTTCCGCGGCACATATCAATCCGGGTACATTAGCACAAGTGATCGTACATGAACTTGTATGCAAATAATCCAATAAAATCCGAAACGTGTCCGCGTCGAATTCAATGATGGAGAACTTGGGCAAACAAATAATAAATAGTTAGATTTCGTATTTTAGGCCGTAGCCATACTTTCCTCCGAAAATAATATATCGTTTTTCATCATTATTATATTATAATTAACGTGTAGGTATTACCTACATATATTTCTTTGTTAGTATTATACTTACCTCGGTTTGGTTGAGTTTCGCCCGATCGATCTTGTCTCCGCCGTTATTGGGACAAACGCTGACTTTGGGCACGGACAACTGGGCCAGTCTTTCTTTCTCCTTTTCTTTATCCTTTTCTTTATCCTTATCTGTAGTCAATGTACATATGGGTAATGTAATTCAACCAAATGTCAATCCTAAATACAAGACATTCGTCTACTTACGACTGAAATCCTGAGAAGAAGCCCATTTCTTTTTGTCGTCAGCCGACAAATTTTGTTGTTTTCTTATCGATTTACTCCATCCAGCAGTGATCGTACCTAACCTGGTGAATGCTCTTCGCATCATAGGAGAACTCGGCACACTTTTAGCCCTGTTGGACGTAGTTTCAGATAACTGAATAATTGACATTATTATATACCTACTTACCTAGGTGTTTCTATGTCGGGCACTTGTAAAAAGTTACTGCTTTTGGGCTTTTGTTGTTGTTGGGATGGTAAACTTGGAAGACCCCGAGCCAGTAACTCGGCGACCGGCATTTGAGGAGATCCAAAACCGGTTGATATGCCGTATAACATTTCCTGAAATACCCTGTTATAATAAAAATATTAATCAATGAGTATATTTTTGATTGGTTTATTAGTAAGTGTTTTAATTATTGGTACATACCGACTCCTTACGCCCAAAATAGCTCTCACGCCGATTAACCTTGTCTTTTGCTTACTCTGTCCCACCAAAAATACCACGTCGAATAAATGGCCGTTCTGCGTTACGTTTAATTCGGAGTTTATGAAGGATTTGGTAAAATCTTTTGCCAGGGTGTCGTAGTCTTCGAACCGATCCCTGACCGAATCGAGTAACGGACTGGACGGTCTCATATGCCCGATTGGCCGCCACGAACCTCTCCTGTAAAGTTTTGCCGTAGTGTCGTAAAGGCGCTCGTCGACGCACAAATGCATTTTGTTATACTTACCTATAAGGTTTGGGTATCTGGCCGGTCTCACAATGGTTCTGTAAGTTAGCGACGATGTCTTCGAGCATTTGGCTACGAGTTCGTTCTTGCATTCTGGCGAATTTAGGTGCTGAATAACTAGCCCGTTCGCCGTTTACGATCTTCGTTAAGATCCACTCCCGAAACATGTCCTTTTCTTCAAAAACTGATTGTTCCCAAAGATACGGTTTATATGCTCCTACCTCGTCTCTGGTCACAACAGACACCTTGAACGAGGACAAATATTGTCAATATATTTAATTTGATCGATATCGATATTGAGTAAATACATAATAACATTAGATAATATATTGTTTATTTACTTCGTATTTGGTTCGTTCTGTTTTTCTTCTGATCCTTGGACTGACTCTGACCAATATGAAAGTATGGAGAAAATGCGATTTGATACAAGCCGGCGAAAATCGGGTATCGTCGGCTTCGAGGAACACAACACATACAATATCGTTACCGATATGTCGTTTTCTTTGTAGCTATAATATATATCAAAATATATTTTTTTATATTTTTTAGTTAAAATAAATTTAATGTGAACGCAGTTTACTTTTTGAGAGTCATGCGCTTCGTAAGGTAACATGGTGGATACGTGAAACATGATTTCGATGTTTCTCCAATTAGTGTACACAGAATGTGTTCCGGTCAAATCGTGTACCGTGTCTAACCCACCACGGTACTTATCAAAACCTATATAAAACGTTTTATTAAAGTAAAACAAATAATATTATCAGATTTAATCCGATATATGGGACGGAATTCGCGTACCACAAAGTCTTTTGGTCTCTCCTAAAAGTCCGAGAAATTCTTCAAATGCTAAGCTATTTTCGTTGTTGTCCAATATTTCTTCCTCCGAAGTCTGGCCTTCTTTGATATATATCACTCCAACTTTGAGTTCGGATTTCATAAACACTTGATCCAACTTGAGCAGTTCGTCGGCCGTGTCGGGTAATTGACCGAGCACTAGCGGCGGATTGAGATTGATCTCTTTACCCAACGACCTAACCACTTCCTCGCGATTGTAGCGGTCAGCAAACACGCAGGACGCCGGTATAAGGCCATGAACCGTGTAGCTGATCGCCCTGACCAATATCCTGCGGGAGATCCCAAAAAACGGCTTTAAAGTTTAAGTCAGATTTGAGACTACAGATTTTAAATATGTATATAGTGCCATAAAAACAATTTATGATGAACCTAC